GGGCAAAGACTTCACATTGATCTAGTGCCGGTATGTCATTGTAATAACCCTCTTATTGCTTTTTTAGCCCATTCGTTTGATGGCAATTACTTTAGGTTGAATTAGCCACATTTACTCTGAAGTGAAAAACACTTCCGGGGAAGAGGATTTTTTTTTCCTCGAGGACACCGTTTCCCCAAGCCTGATTGAGCCAAGGCGCATATTTTACATTCAGAACAGTCTCATGACACGAGACCAAACAAAGACGCCACAAAAAGTGGACACACACGTAAAATGTGCCTTTTGCCGTTTTGTGGAAGATCATGTAATTGTTCTGCCTGTTATGCTTCGTCGTAACTCACAGGCATGGATACCAAACAAAGAGACTAAAACCTCAACTTTTAGTATGCCCCATTGTCAGTCTATTTTTTCCCCCCATGTATTTTTTTATAGGGATGTTTGATTGCAGTTTTTTGTTTTTCAGACTGATACTAAAACTAGCATTCAACTCTTGAGTGCCCACCGATCCCAAGAAATTGATACATTAAACCAATGACAGATTATTTGAAACAGACATGTCAATCCCAACATAGCATCTTTTCTTAAAATTGCATGAAATTAACAGCAAATATTTCTTAAAAAAAAAAATCTATTTCGCCGCTTCTCCTCACGAGGAACCCGCGGGTATGCCGGAGCCTCTTCAAGCTGTCTTTGGGCAGTTGGCTTTTTTGATCATGAAGAAATTTCACGCTGTGCAATAAACTGAACCCTTTGCGACACTCATGTCACATGTTACAGTAACTTCCATGATGACTCTCCAGATCAAACAAGACATATGTACAGTTTTGCCTGGCAATGCAACATCGAGAATTTTCATCCAGATTGAGGTCAGTGATGATCACAAATCTCTCATTCTTTCCATTCTAATCAGAGGAGGCATCGCGATGAACTGATCGAGTGCATCAGAGTTACTTGCATTTAGATTCTCGCTGAAACTCAGAAAAAAAAATTACAGAAAGAGATAAAAATTACAGTGCCACCTTCGCACAAACGTCTCATCGGCTACAGTGAACCACGGCACTCATTGTCGCCGCGTCATTATGTACAATGAGCAATCATCAGCTGTTCTTCGATGCTTTCTGGATGATGGTGTGTGGCCTGAGAAACATGCCAGTCAGGCCGACACCCCCACCCTGAGAGAGGTGACCACCGGTAGCACCAGAGCAGAGTGATGACAGATTTTACAGTCAAATGGGCTTTTATAAAGGCAGGTGCTTGGTTACCTCTCAAGAAGGAATATTGAAAGTTAAAGATATTAAAGCTTGTGCTATAAAGGCTTTCGTTGTAATAAAAGTCAAGAGAAAGCCTAGTTTTCTTTTAAATAACTTGGATTTTTATTTTATTTTACAAATGAATCTATTTATTTAAAAATTGTTTTGTTTTTTTTTTTCCTGATAGGATTAAAAAAAATTTTTTTTTTACTTTCTTCATAAACTACGGAAACGTGTTAATCTACTCGCAAATACGTTGGAACATAGTTGGAGGATAAATGCTACAGACACAGCATTTGTTTCCCGTGATGCCACAATGTTTTTTTTTTTTTTAGCATTTTGGCGACATTATATCGATACGTAATGCCACGGGGTATGCGCATACGGAAAACGGTAGCCCGTGGCATGATGGGAAAAATGCTACGTTTGTAGCACTTAGCCTGCAAGTAGGTTTGAACATACAAGTATGTTTGAATGTATTTGCCAGTCCAAATGTTTTGACTCCACATTGGCTGCCCCATGCTTCAGTAATAAAAGTGCAACCCCAAAAAAAATTAACATTTTATTGTTTGAAAGCTGGGCCTGACAAATTGCAGTCTTTTTTTTATTTATTTATTTAAACAGCATGGATACTTATTGGAATGAATTATGGAACAAAACTAAATGATAAAACTAGAAAGTAAAAAGCTATTGTGTTTAGAGATAATGACAGAGAAAATCACAACTTGGTTATCTCACATTTGTTCTTCTGACAGAATATAAACAAAAATGTAATAATGATGTCAAGGGAAAAAAAAAAAGACCTCTCAACGTTGCAAAAACAGAAATCCACAAATGATCTCCCGATGCTTTCTAATGGCGAGGCCGACGCTCGGAGTGGCTATGATATCATCTGGCTTCCGTCCCAACGGGTGGGTGACTAATGTTTGTGTCTTCCACTAAATAATGCTCATTGGCCCTGCATTTTAATGGTCCTATTGATTCCATCCTTTATTTCTCCCTTGGAAAGCAATACACATTTACCATATTATTTCGCTGTCATTATTTATCTGTAATGTGACAAAAGAGAAGAATAAAGGTTATAACGGGGTCACTTTATCTCTATAAGTCCTCTACCTTGAGCTGAGAACGTTTGGCTGATGTATTCGCAATAGGAAGAAAAACCTCATTTGCGCTCACCTTTCACTCGAATATAAATGCTTTACAAAGTAACAAGCACGATTTTTTTTTAAAATATTTTTCTCCTGGACGCTATTGATCCGACTTACGTCACCCCTTTCATAGCTTTAATTTACCAGCGAAATAAGCCGACAGTCATAAAATAAGAAGGGTCTTGAGCGCAATATTCAGGACCTCCGTGGAGCTAATTGTATCAGCTTTTAACATGACCGAGTTTATGGCATTGTTTTATAGGTCGGCATTAAAAAGCCTCAATCATCGACACATGATGGAAACCAGGAGGGCGTCCTTGGCAAACCTCAATGAAGTGTTTTGACACGTTATGGCCGAGCTGACTGCGTGGGGTATAATCACAAACAGTCAAGCCCCAGCCCTAATTCTTAATCTTGGCTTTATGTGGACCATTACTGCCGTGTTTAGTCCAGAAAGTCACATAAAGTGTTTCTTTTTTTTTTCCAGTGTAATAATGGGCCCAACAGCCTTGAAGATTTGAATCTCCGACTTTCAATAACTGGCTTTTCAGTTCATTTATTTCTATCTTGTGCTACTTAGTGTAATGTAAGCCCGTAGTCCTGGGCTCGTGCCAATTAACTCTGCTGCATTTCCAGTGAAACAAGTGGAGAGAGTTGTTAAATTGAGACTGATGGCCAAACTAAACCGAGCAGACCGGAGACGTTCAAAACACAAGAAGTGGAAGCAGTGAAGGTCTTTGGGAAATGGGGAAGTGGTACTTTGACTCACTCTCTATGCTTTGTGAGTTGCTTAATCAAGCGGAGTGCATTGGGAAGGCATCGATTGTCCGTTTATACAGTTTCTACACCCGCTTATGGAGGTGTTTGAATATAATATTTTCAATACAATCAGACCTCCTTAACGTCACAATGTTTTTGAATTCAGGAGCCTACTGACATTCTTCCACTTGCGCAACTTGTAGCAATGTTTCCATGGCTGGATGTGTTTATATATACGCCTCTTATGCAAGAATGTGGTTGAAATCGCTTCTCTGTTTTGATACCTTGGATCATTTTTTTTCTCTCAAACCACTGTGAATAAGTCAATTCATTATTTTTATTGACACCGAACATTTCTAACTGTTGCAGGGGAAATGTTAGACGAAATCTAAATATCACAACCAACGTGAATGTTTAAATGCATTTTTTTACTGAGGAAGCACAAACCAAGGACATCTTGAATGACTGTCAAATTATGTTGGACCACTTGCAACCGTGCACACGGAAAAATCATTTCCACAATCTAAGAATGTACAGACTTTGGAAAGTACCTGTTTCGCCCTCTGTTTGGCCACAGAGGTCGCGGTCCAGGTCATTGGTCCCGTCATCCTTTCCGGAAGAAACTAAAAAAGTTTGCATCCGACATTCCAACGGAAGTTGTTTGAGGTCCATTTGAAGCTCGTCAGTAAATGTACGAGATGAAAAAGATCCCTCAAAACAGCATGAAGAATGGGTACCAGCACACATGCACGCACACATTTTACACAAAAGAGGGGCACTGACACTTCATCATCTTAGATTAGCAAAGTGCTGAAAACTGTCGTGAGCCTGCTTTCACTGGAAGTGTGTATGTGTGTGTGTGTGTGTGTGTGTGTGTGTGGGTGTGTGAGCGCTCTACCGAAGCCAATGCTCCATGTCGTTGAAGGAAAGTGATGTGTCTATATGTGGATAATAAGCTCCTTTGGGGGAGAACTCGCTCTCTCTGTAGACCACAAACTACTCTTTTACTTCAGATGATACACTCCATCCAGGGAATACTACTTTTCCTTCCAGTGATCTCAATTACACCCCGCTCGTATTGTCTTTTCACTGTAGATCTGGCGTCTCTGTTGCCATGGAGCTAATGTGGGGTCTATTAGAGTGCATGCTCTACTTTCCGTGTCACTTTAAAAAGCTTTCAGCGGCTGAAAGAATAAAGGTGGTCGCCTATAAAATACCTCGTGGATTTTCCACACTTGAACCCTTTGAGTCGCTCCCAGGCCACTGCTCCTAATAACCTGTTCAGTAGCACTGAGGTCAGCAAGTCCATCTTCTCCACACAAAACACACCAAGATGCACAAAGGTATTCATGTTACAGTCTGATGGCCAATCTCTGTAGTTTCTTGTATTGTCAAACCCTTGCCCTCATTCTCCAGCGGCAGCACATTGCCAGCAGATGATCTCAAGGTTGCACCACCGTGCTGTTTTTGTGGGTTCAATCCCGTGCTGTTGTGTCCTTGACTAGATGGAGGCATGAAAATCTATCTATCTATGGGTTCAATTCCGTGCTGTTGTGTCCCCTTGACTAGATGGAGGCATGAAAATCTATCTATCTAGCTAACTAGCTATTTATCTACCTAGCTACCTAGCTCGCTATCTACCTAGCTAGCGAGCTTTCTAGCTATTCATCTACCTAGCTAGCTATTTATCGAGCTAGCTATTTATCTAGCTAGCTATGTATCTACCTCGCTAGCTAGCGAGGTAGATCCCGAGCGAGCTAGCTCGGTATCTACCTAGCTAGCTAGCTATCTTGCTATTCATCTACCTAGCTAGCTATTTATCGAGATAGTTATTCATCTAGCTAGCTAGCTATTTATCTAGCAAGCTATGTATCTACCTCGCTAGCTAGCGAGGTAGATGAATAGCTAGCTATATATATCTCAACACAAGGAGGAGATAATCGCTGGAAACCACAAATAAGTGAAATTGGATACATTCTTGCAGCCTCCCTGATGATCTCCCATGAGACCCTGCTTTGGAATCACTGACTGACCTACCTACCAAACTGTACTTCATTTTGTTAGGGGGAGTGATATATACTTAAAAGTGATATCTACTGAAAAAAATATTGTAATTTTAAACGTTGCTAATTTTAGTGTAATTTTACAAGGAAAATGGCAATCAATGTAACCAGTATATTATTAATACTATAATAAAGGGAGCACAACGGCGTTGTGTATACTTGAGTTTAGTGAGTGTGTCTTGTATGCAGAGTCACAGTCGAGACGGTGTGAATCTCAGAACCTTTATACAGTTTCCATGTACTCCTGATACGACAGCTTCCTATCACATTTCTGAAAACATGCAAGTCGGGTGAGGAGACTCTTGATTGCCCCTGTAGGAGTGAACCTAAGTGTGAATGGTTGTTTGTCTGTATGTGCTCAGCAGTAGGTTGGCACTAATGAGGACAAGCGCAATGGAAACTGGATAGGTGGAACATTATACTGAAAATGCATTTATACAAAAAAAAAAAAAACCTCTTATTGAGGGTGGGCAGCCCCCGCAGTTGAGTTAATAAGCATCTCTGGACATTGTAAGGAAACAAGGATGACAAGTCTGTTGTTCAGTTGAATTGCAATGCGTGTAAGTGCACAGTAAGATTCATTCGGTCTTCTCAGAAAGAGGCCACAGTATGCCCAGTTCCGAACAAAATTGTTTCTCTGGCTTTTCTAGGACACTCCCCAGGTGCTCAGGCCCATGCAGTCACATCAGCTTTGGTGCAGCTGTACTCACCAAGATGGGATTTTACAGAAAGATATACAAGAATCACCGCTTAATGAGAACTCAAACACATTTGGGGAAAATTGTCTTCTTTTTTTTTTTTTCTACCACTGGATATGTCCTCCTTTATGACTCACAGGTTCTTGCTCGTCTCATCTTGAAATCCATAGTGTCCGTAGCAGTCCTTGTTATCCGGACACTGTGGCCTCATCTGATCAATAAAAATATGCCAATAGAGTTTATTGACAAGGCGTTGTGTACGAGATAAGGTGGTTATCACAGGTTGTCTGCACTCTGATGTATAATCCTGACTCGTGGCAGGAAAATCATTCATTGTGCTGTAGGGAAATGAAACAGCCAACATATTGCTTTCAGTAGTACAACACTGACCCCGAATGTACGCAAACACACACGTATGGTAAAGAATAGAAAAGTTGAGCAAAGTCATTTGACCAAAAATGGTCAGTACGTCCAAGGCAAACGGAGTTGTTATGAGATGAGATCCTGTTACAGTCAATAGTGACAAAGTGTTATTGGAGTTCACTTCGGGCAGAGTAGTTAGCACCAGTTGAAAAAGATACAAACGGATTCTGCACCCTGTACCCAGAGGTGGACCACGTGCGCTACGGTGCCTCGGAGAGACCACACGTCGCAAGCCTATTACCAATTTCTTCAGCAGAAGTGCAAGCAAAATGTCATTCCAAATGACTTCTTCAGCTCCCCCAAGTCATGGGGTAAGTTTGTCTCCTTAGGGTATCCGTAGCAGAAAGATGGTGGCGAAACATGGCAGCCTCCGGTCGGGGAGGGCCTCCCAAGACGGCAGGAAGTATTTGCCAAAGCAAGTGTTTCCTTCCCGACTTTGCCACTTTGGATCACACCCGTCTCTCTGATCCTCTTCAGAAACACGTATGATTTTTAAAAAATTCTTACGTGTGTCCCCGGCCTCAGACATAAATTCCATTGTTAAGTCTTTGAACCAACAATGTCTGATGTGAAATAATGTTCTGGTAAAGCAGGACTTTGGATCGGCCCCACATCTGACCTTCATGTTGTCACAGACAACCGGCCAAGCACTAAATAATAACATTTCACAGTCTCACGATGGGGCGCCATCTAAAGCCTGTTGCCCTCACAGATGATTTTGCTCTTGCTGAGCTGAAAGCTGTTATGTGCCAGCGTGTGTGTGTGCGCATGTACGCTTAACGTGGTTTTCTGCATGCAAAATTGCATTTTTTGTGCGGTTGAGTATCACAGGGGAGCACGTTACGATGAGTGAACGGCTATAACCTTCATCAGCCCCGCAAAGGTAAAACATGTGTTTCCAGGGGTAGCCAGCATTCCACTCCGATTTACAGAAGGAAGTGACATATCCCATTTCTGACATGGAGTGTTAAAACGTGAAATGGGGATGGATGCTGAGACGACGTGCACCTCAGGGGTACAAAGGATAGAACCATAAAATTCAACGGGGGGCGGGGGGAGTGCGACTCCCGAGCTGAATTACACAAAATCTTGCAAAAGAAATGTCGGTTTGACCTTTAAGGAAGCTGCTTTGGCATACTACAGACAGAGTATGTTTTAGAATTTGGATTTAAATAATAATCGTATTAGGGCCACTGTGGCGAAAATCAATGACAGGAAATTAATGTGAGAAGGCATAATATGGGATGTGGAGGTCAAATTGGGTGGTTTGTGTTATTTACAACAACAACAAAAAATTTGCCATTTCATTTGTCAAATATTTTTGCATGATTTTTTTAATCAAAACTGTTGGGAATGTTTGTAAGTAATTAGAACAACATGGTTGAATCATTCAGTTGCGGGGAGGTTTTGTGTCATGCAAATGAGTTGCTGCACATCCACCCGACTGTGTGACACCCAGGGGCGGAGCTAGGGTGTTGCAACTAGGCGGGCAGCTCCTTGTTCCCAAGCCGCAGTAAAAAGTAATTAAAACTAACGGAATTGCCAAAACAAAAGTCAGAATGAAATAAGACCTAACTCTAATGAAAAATCCCAACCTACTCTAACCCTGGTTGAGTGTCGCCCTCGCATTAAAATTTGACTTCACCCATTAAAAATAAATTCCCTGGCAGTGTTTGTTGTGCATCCAAGGTGAAATGGCCTTAATTATTTGAAACGCACCGATGTCACCACAGGCTATATTTATTGTGAATTGTAATAATGTGCAAAAAAAAAAAAAAAAAAGACATTCCCACTCGTTGGTCTAATTAGCGCTCTTCAGTGTTGCTGTTTACCTCACGCTCGGAGCACAGACACATAAATGAAATTGAAAAAAAAAATACACGACACACAGCTGGCATACAGGAAAAAAAAAATATGCTGGTGCAGTTTCAGAGCCCGACACAACGGGGAGCCTGTTGGGGGGGCTCTCCATTACTAAGGCTGTCGAGGTGTAAATATTTTGCCTGTCAAAGTATTTCCTTCCTATACAGCTGTCAGAATTCATGCTTTAGAGTCTGAAAGACTGAAAGATACTCATTCTGAGCTGACTGACGCATGTTTGTAAGGGATGCAACAGGTAGGCAGGGGGGCTTTCCAGCAGTTCTAGGTGGTCCAAGTCACCGGGTGAGGCAAAGGGTCGAGGATAAAGCAGGGTAAGAAAGAAGGGATCGGAGCCCAGAATATTGCCAAAAGAGCGTAAGGGAATCCATTCCACTCAACAAATCCATCTTGACCTGGATATTAGTCTCCTAGAATGCTGTTCTCACGTCAAAATACGATGAGGAATGTGACAGGCTTACTGACAACGGACGTCTGTGAATCCACAAAGTGAGATTTCAGCAGCCCAAATGCTTTATTACATGTTGACAGGCGCGTCCAACACGCAATATTTATCACTGAAACGTCTGCCCTTTTCATGTGGGATGTCCAAAAACAATCCAAAGTGTTCTCTCTAAGTGTTTTCCGATTGACCGATAGATTTGGGGGGCGAAATACACATAAAATGTTGGGTTAACTCAAGCTGTCCACCCATCGTGTCCAAAATCGTCCGCAGGAATGCAACCGCAGCAGTTTGACGCAAAGCCAAAGTGAGCTGCAAGCTGGGAAACAGAGATGAGTTCAATCCAGCGGACTACTAATAGCAACACAGTTTTTCTATGAGAACCGCCGAAATGGAAACATGTGTTTTCATTTTGTGTGTGTGTGTGTGTGTGTGTGTGTGCTCACTCATGTGTCTGTTTGTGTGTGCACATAGACTCAAACAAAAGCCTAGTGTGAAAAAAAAAAATGCAATATGACCTTTACAAATACTTACAGAAGGGAGCAAAATGTGGAAAACATTAGTGGTCCATCCCAACCGATATCAATTTTTGGGCTGAGGTGTAGATTTCTTTCGGGAAAAACCTTTGCAAATGCATCTGTATTGCAGCTTCTCCTGCCCAAGAAAGGCCCAAATCCCTGATACAGGGGTAAAAGACTTAAAAAAAAAAAAAATAGTATGTGTAGAGAAATCTGTACACAATAAGTCATTGCATTCGTTTTCTATATTACTTATTTTGTTCAGGGTGATGAACACCTGGAGCCTACCCCAGCCTGACTTTGGGCAAAAGGCAGACCACACGCTGAACTGCAGGTCACTCGATCATCGTAAGGCAACTATAGGGGGGACATTTAGGAAATCGCCCCCCTCTGAAATCTAACGTGCTTGTTAGTTTGGGAGGAACGAGACAAGCCCAGGAAGCCTGTTAGCTCAACAGACAGCTGCTGGCTAGAGCCTCTCATTGCGGGGCATCAATTAATTCAATAACCTACTATAAATTTATGATCATTGTCATTATCAATGACTGGTATAACTACCACCTAATTAGTTAACTGTACTAATAAATTCTTATGTAAACTCTCATGCCATCATCTGCATACTTATGACATTAAAATAGTAACACTCTCAAATACAAGCTTGTGGGGCCAAAAAACAAGGGGCTGAGAAGAGAACCTTGAAGGATCCCACATGTTGCTGATAGCCCGGGGACCCCAGAATCATGTTTCCTCTGTGACTAATGGTGCGAATAGCAACAGAGCTTTTCAGTATCATGAGGGGCTCTGTCAGAAAAACGTGACAAAAAAAAAAAATACTGAACGATGCCATTAGAAACACAACAACATTATATATTCTTGAGGACAGTAAATCGAGTTTGGGGATTATGGTGATGCTACTTTGACGTGACGGAGATTTAAGGAATCCATGAATACATTTCAGATTTAATGCCTTGAGGTGACTCAATAGCTAAGTGGCTTGATAACTATATTTTATCCGATACTGACTCTGACAATATCATTTGTTTATTCCTTGCAGTCTCCACTACGATGCAAACCGTATTTAAAGTGTCGCCTGTCTCGTGATTTATCAGAGGCGCTCATATCACTCTCACGCTTCCCCTCCTTCCTTCTCTTGTTTTTCCATAAATTGTCAAGGAAACGTCAATGTAAACAAACTTCCGGTACTGGAAATAAGCATATTTGTCCTGGCTCAGACACAATCCAGAAGATATTAGCCATGTAGGAAATGCGCCGAATATTACGGGCCCCGACATTCCAGGCCAAGGAAGACAGTTGGTGCAAACCTCCGACTGCCGCTCTGCTCCGATTTCTCAAAATGTCAGAGCTTTCGTATTC